TTACACTTTGAAATGATAGTTCGATAGTTTTTTTCCGTTGACATCAAAGCGTCCAAAATCAATCTTGATCACTACTTTTTTGCCATCAACGACATGAAACAAGCAAGTTGCAAAACGTTTTGACTTACTATGAAATTTATTGAAAGCAAGCAGATGGATATTATTCACTATTTATGTATTGAGTAAGAGAATAGTTCGACGATGCAATACAATTTATATGAATTATGCAATTTCATAACCACCTCATATGTATTTGTCATTGGAATGCTTTAATTTTTAAGCATATTATCACGAGTAGATGAAAAACGAAAATGAAATATTGAAAACAAAGACAGTGAATTGAAATTAGTAAAAACCATAACATGAAAGCCGACATATCCGGTGTTTAAATGACTGAAAGCATATTTTTCCACTGCAACTGATTAGATTGTTAAAACAATTTATGACTTATATGTCAAATTCAAAATATTCGTCGACATATTTATTGAAATCAATTGAAATTACTTTAATGTATACAACTAGTGTGAATTGTAATACAAAATTTTTGTTTGAAAATGTGAGTAATTTCTCATTACATAATCTTCTTTTTATTTTTATTAATGTCTTTAATTTTGAAACCTCTACTCTTTATAGAATAAGAAAACATTCACATATGCATGTCATTCTAAATGTGTACCCAATCAACAAATTTATCAGGCAAATGAAATAATTTCGAAGAGTAGAATTATAGGATCGCTTAAATAAAGGGGTGGACATGTATGTGCAAGGGAAGACACAAACTGTACATTAATCTTGCTTGGTAGAAGATGATTATCTGCTAATGAATACAACGAGTTGTCTAATTGATTCTTTCATCCTATGAGTTTTAGTGACAATCAATTGAATTTTTCAACAATTAGAAAATCCGAATATCTGGCTAATTGATCAAGCAAGGATAAAGTATTCAAATACTTCCAGATATTATGCTTCTAATGTTAACTATTACTCAGTCTATACTTTTAACGCTGTATTGTCATTCTGAATAATCAAGTAGCCAATGACATTTAAATATCTCATGGCTTTAATTAATTGATAGAAAAACAATATCTTGCAAGAGTTTCAAATTATAGAAAATGTTACGACATTTATGTTCATAGCGTTTTCACGTACACTTCCACTCATTTTCTCTTGGGTGTGGGTGGGGTGTGGGTGGGGTGGGTGTGGGTGTGGGTGTGGGTGTGGGTGTGGGTGTGGGTGTGGGTGTGGGTGGGTGTCGTTGTGGGTGTGGGTGTGGGTGTGTGAGTTGAACGTCGATGCCCGCACCTCACACCCACCCACACCCATACCAACACCCTCAATTCATACAGTATAACGTATATTAATACTCTTTTTCTTTATATAAGTCTGCCATGATTATCAGTACTGATCTATTGTGTCTTCGGTGCTCTCTATAACATTTAAGTCGTTAGAAGGAATAAGGATTATCATTTCGCTTGTTTTTTTCTCATTCTTTCTTAGTAACTTTATCTTTTTATTTTCTTGCAGTTAACCTTAAGATTGAATTGGATATCATTAAAATGCAAGACGAACAACGAAGTGAAAGAATGAAGATGATGGGTACTTCTTATTCATCTGTTTCCCAACGATTATCACTAACTAAAAATCTTCAAGTAGAACGAACTCGGAAAATTCTTCTAATTATACTTGGTGTATGTCTTGTAAGTTCTTATTTTCTGGTTTTTACTATTTTGATTAAATAATAATTACTAAAAAAAAATTTGTTTCTTTTTTCTTTTGTTTGATAACTATATGAATTAAGCTATATGAGAAGGTAAGTGCAGATTTGGAACTCCGAGCATTTCACTCTCGTTTTGAGTATCTTCAACATTTTTTCCAGGACATTGTGATAAAACTTTTCCCAGATGGCTACTAAAATAGACAAATGCAAGCGTTTTTCGACAGAATTTTAACAAGCAATTTGTTTTTGCTATAATTTTTCAAAAAAATGTTGAATTTACTTTTGTTTTCGACTACGTGTAAATTGAGATTCAAAAATATATTCAACAAGGTTTAGAATATCTATATGCAAATATGACTATCACATCATGTAGGATTTATTCAAAGAAATCTGGAGTGCGAAGAGAATGTAGAAAGAACATTAATGGACAGTTAACGATTTCTTTTGAAGGCGACAGTCCGACAGAATGCTAAAACTCGCGCTCAGTTTCTCTGGCAGAAAAGGAAAATTTTCGATGATTGTTGGAGAGTGAGGAGTGGTCCATTGTGGCTAAACATGAATTCATTGAATGATAATCGACTATAGGATTACAAAAAAATTAAACACTTCAAGAATATAACTGAACACTTCCGGAGTATTCAGAAAGCTTTTTCGTTTATGATACATTTTAGAATTTTCTTTGTTGATTATTTTACTAAGAGGTTGTAAAACTTTGATAAATCGATGACAGTTCTAGATTCGAAAGACTCGAAAACTTCAAAGAAATGTACCAGCTGGAGTTATGGCGTTTTTCATTATTGTGATGATAGAAATGTCATTTATTGATCAAATTTTTAAAACCTTCCACTAAAATAATCAGCAACGAAAAGTGTGAAAAGTGCCATAGACGAAAACGTTTTCTGAATAGATTAATATTTTCTTTTATTAATTACTTATTGGAAGTATTCGGTTATATTTTAGTATAATTTTCAAACTTTCCGTAAGTTTATAATCTATTAGTCACTTATGCAGTGTTAGCCATACTCTTGAATCCAGTTTCCGGCAGGACTTCATTTAGTATAAATTTTATTTTCAAAGCTTTTCGAATTTGATTTAGATTCTCCTAGCAAAAGGTTATTCACAAATCTGTACTCAGAATCAATGTTTTCGTAGTTGAAAAAAAAGAAATTTTTTAAAAAAAAACATGCTTAGAATACGTTCTAACAAAAAAACATATGATTAAATCAAATCATTTCAGTCAATCAAAATCTCTAGTAGAGATTTGTCATGAGAATATTCGTATTCTTATAGAATTTTTCAATATGGATCGATAAAAATTCCATATTAATCTACTAGGGTATTCTTGTCTTTGGTAGAATTGTTGTGATATTTGGACCTATCATTGATATTTATTTAATGGATAATGGACGTGTTACGCAAATAGTTGAATGTCTTATTTCAATTATATTCTACAGTTTTGGAATATTTGTCGTCCATCGATATAACGAAATAGGATTACGAGTGGTATGTTTTGGTTTTTAATAGCTATACTATTTTTGTCATATGTAGTTCAAGAAAATTGATTTTATTCGAACTCTAAAAAAATGAGATTTCATTTAACTTTAAAAGCTTTTTAGAATTATATTTTTATTTAATATTATCTTATACACTAATCAGTGTTTCAAGTATAATTTTATGTTATTCAGTTCATAGAATGTTTTTCGCTAACCAATCAAAATTCCTTTAAAAATAAATGACAGAGCTAATTGATGTATTTACAAGGTGTTACATTAAAACAACATTTATTATTCATTCATTCCAAAATGTATAATTTTGCTTTCGAAAAGTTTTTTTAATAAAAACTAATGAAAAAAAATGTTATGCTTGATGAACAACGCGACTAATAAATTTAATAATAATAGAATCATGTTAAAGAAAATCTATAGGAATACAAAGTTTAACAGTTAACTCTTTTGAGATGTTTAGATAAGTATCAGCAATTAACAGTTGGTAAATATAGTTAAAATAAAATGATTCATTAACTAATATTCCAATAAGATATTTGTATTAAAACGCATATATTCATATTATAATTTTAGTTTGCTTGGTTGAATATAATTATACTAGTTATACTTGCTATTGTAATAGTAACTTTCTTTGGCGTTGCTATTTTAAAATTCGCTGGCATAAATCTAGATTCTTTTAATGGGCAAAACGTTAGTGACATGATTAAGATGCCAACAGATGGTCTTGTATGTGCTTTTCTCTACATATCTGATTTTGTTCTTAAAGTAACTATTTTATTTCAGTGATTTCTATTCGTCTTATACTTATTTTACTTTTTAGATAATCATTGTAATATTTACCTTTAAATTAGCAAAACATATAAAATCAAAAAACTGTTTAACTATTCAACAAATCTAACTTTTCATTTACTCAATAATTTTATCATTTTAACTTTTATTTAATTTTCTTGTCTTGATATTCCCAAATACAAGTCAAAATTTTTTTCTCTATTGATAATTTATTAAACAAAGTAATTAATTAATAAATGGAGATTGATGGTGTGTGTGTGTGTGTGTGAATGTAGGTGTAAACATAGTGCAGCAATACCCATACCTACAGATCCAAATCTAGAAACCTATATATCCATGCACCGTACCACTATCAAAAAGAAAAGACAAGAAGAATACATTTATATTGTAAATACATAGTCAAAAGAAAATCAGCACATGTAACAACAAGTTATAGGAAGGTCTACTCTGCATCGAAACGTCAATACACAATTTTTTAATTTCAATCTTCATTATATTAATTTTAATTCTATTTTATTTATGTATTTGTTTCATTTTATTCAATTATTAAATGCTACATCAAGTTGTATCTTATATTTAATCATTGTATTGTATTTTTTTGTTGCCTGTATATTAAAATTTCATTAAATAAATATTATATCATAAACAGGAAGAGATATTCCTTTAAATTTAATATTCTAGTGCTGTGTATAACTGTTGTTTAGATAATCAATTTTAGTCTTGGTATACGATTAGTCATTACTGAATTCTCATGAATTAATGATTTAAAATGTCGTAAGTTCATCTCTGTGATTATTAGTTAATGGGCATTACCTTCCATGACACATGTCTTCTATTAAGATTAGAATGCATCTTATAAAATATATGGCAATTAAAACTTCTTCGTTTCATAGTTTACTATGATGCAGAAGAGTTGAGTTGAACAAGTCGAATCAACACAAAAAACATCATGTATTTTATTTGTAACATGAGTGCACAAAAGAAATCGTTCAGACTTGTGCTACACCTCCATCCACAGAAAGTTCGATACCCGTAATATAGCTACTATCGTCTGAAGCGAGAAAAACGACAGCTTTTGCAATTTCGTCAGCCGTACCAAAACGTTTCATTGGTATAGCCGATAGAAAACCAGAGACGACCTTTTTTTTCTCCTCTTCATCAAACCCAACTTTATTCAATCCCGGTGTTTCGATTGCTCCAGGACTTATCGTATTGACTCGAATCTTGCGCTCCTTTAAATCGACGGCCCATGTACGAGCAAAAGAACGAACAGCTGCCTTGGTCGCGCTTAACAGACTCGCAGCATGATGACCTTTAATGGATAAGACAGATCCATTCAGAATGATTGATCCGCCATCTACCATCAACGGCAAAGTTTTTTGTACGGTAAACAATACTCCTTTGACATTGATATTGAAAATTTCATCAAATTGGTTTTCAGTGATAGCACCCAATGGTATAAATATTCCGGTTCCTGCATTGGCAAAGACGATGTCTAAACGACCTTTATCTTTCTGGATAATTTCACATAGCTTATCGAGGTCAGTCAGATTAGATGAATCGGCTTGTACTGCAGTCACTCTGTTGCTACCTATTTTCTTTATGGCTTCGTCTAGTATTTCTTGGCGACGTCCAGTGATAAAAATATGTTCTACACCTTCAGCAATAAACCTTTGAGCAGTGGCTAAACCAATGCCTTCAGAACCACCTGTGATGAGCGCAACTTTTCCATCTAGCTTGCCCATGTTTTTCTTTTTTTGTTGTTTTAACAGTCGAAGTCACAGATTGACGGTTACTTGATGACTTGTTGAAAAAATAAGGTAACTATCTGTCGCACGTTTATGTATAAGATACGATGCTGACTATTTTTTTTTCGTTCTCTCACGTATTTAGTCACATGATGACGACGATTTTTTTTGTCATGTCTTCTTTTTCTCTGATGGTCTTGGTTGATTCTGCACTTCTGAGAAAGGTCAGAAAAGAAAAAAAAGCAAGTGACCATATAACACATCGTGTGTGTGTATATGTTTATTGTTGCTGGAAAGAAGCCTGTTCTATGCGTATCCTCCTTTATCATTTATTTTGAGTTATATTTCCACGTGTTTTCGTGCGCATACACACTTTCTTGTTGCAGATACAGAGAGAGCGCAAAGAGAACGCATGAATTTATAGGTATCAGTGTGTTCGGACTTCCGAACGGTCGAAAAAAATTTTCTAAAAGTCTAACACGTAAGATTGGTATCGTTAGAAAGAGCGTAAAAAACTGAGGATTACCCTAGAATATGAGCGCGGGGTATGGTGTAGTCCCAAGCAAAATTTTTTAAAACAAGATTTGCTGCAAGAAAAACTTTTTTTGTCTTTCTTCAGTTTTTTCTTTCGTTCTGTCGTTCGCGATGACATATATATGTATATATGAGTGAATCGTAAGTTTTTTGTACAATTGACAAAAAAAAATGAAAGTGCTCCCAGAGAAAATCAGATTGGTA